CCGGCATTACGCCACCGATCAACGCAAGTGTCAAGACACGGGGCGAGTTCGTCGTTTTCGACAACTTCAAGCCACGCAATACCTCCATCGTCTTCCTCAGACGAGCTCAAGGGGGTCTGAAAAGGAGTAGTAAGTGGAGTTGCTTCCAATACACTTTGGTCTCTCCGTACCTTTGTTTTAGATTTGGCTCGGCCCTTAGCTACCTCATCCTTGAATCTATCGACATGACTGTCCTCAATCCATCTATAATCATGTAGAGTCCGATGATCTGTCCTTGGCTTCCCTGACTTGAAGTCGGTGTCAATCATTTTCAGAGAATTATTACCGTCCATGGCGATCAACATGGATGGATGTAGGGGAGGCTCATCTTCCAATTTGTAGGTACATGGCGGACAGGTGATTGAAGTACAGGAGGATTCGCTATTCCTTCCTAATGCGTTGAGCGAGAGGGTCTTGACGTGACGGAGTATGGCAAGGTACGCGTCATATGCAGTACGGAGTTGGTCATCAAGTGCTGTACCCCCAGGAAGCTGAAAGCAGCTGAGTTGCTGAGATATATGATCATTGATTGAATGAACTTACATAGTGTACATGCTGTACGGACCGTGCTAGCGAGTCAATGCCATAGCGGGGGCAGACACGATGAATTTGGCGAAAGTTGTGGAGAAAATGAAGGGGAAATGCAAAGGTGGGGTGATCCGGACTACTACCTATGAGTCCATGTCGTGCAAGTGAAACATTGATAGAGGTTGATTCTTGATGATGGAAGACGTCGCGGTGCTCATGCGCTGAGAGTGGTTCAATAGCCGAAAGGTGAGAGCTTGTTTGGCTTACGCACCTTCAAAACTGATTGTTGGTATGGACCAAATCGGTTCGTTTGTATCATTCGAGGGGGGTCCGTTTGCGAGAAAACTAAGATATGCTCTTGCCAACTGAGGAATTTGAGCCGCCCATGAATCCGCCTGCTTCTGGACACGATCAGTCCGAGTGCGGGTATCTGAGCCACGATGACTGTGCAAGAGAATGATATCAGGACAAGGGTGAGTATTTATGGAGTACAACACACCGATTGGCCAGCAGGGAGTTCAAAATTTCTTCATATTCACGCCCCTCGTGACTCTGAAGGAGAGCCTCCTCACCAGGGGGAAATATTGGCATTCAGTTCAGGTCGTTAGGGTACGGGAAGTCGACACCATCTTCGTCTTCATCCATCTCATCCAAACAGAAGTTTGTGTCGTGTAAACCGGCGGACTCGATGATGTCGCGGGCTTCAAAGCTGAGACCTAGAATAGGGAGGTGCACTGCAAGAGAAGGAAAAGTAAAAAACACAAAAAGATAACGATACCGACCACCGTAATGCTTCATATATATCTCGCGTTCTCGTTCCAGCTGGTCGACTTTTCGGCTCAGCTTCCTTACTTCGCGCTTTGCTGCTAAGCCATTCCTAGAGCCGTAGCTGACCTTGACCTTCTTTGCGCCACCGAGCTTGCCCATTGTGAGTTATGAAAGAGCTGTGGTAGCAGAGTTGACGAGGGTGGTAGCGAGTAGCGGGTAAGTCAGTGGTATCGGGCTTGATGGAAGATATATCGGGAGTCGGGAGTCGGGAGAGCTCGACCGAGTGGACCGACTTCCCATACACGTGAAGCTCGGAAGTTACCGAGGGCAATGACGCGGCTGGGAGAGCTCGTCTTACAAGTTGGTCAAAGTCCTGGCGGACTTGACGGGTGCTCTAGACGGGTAAGAGCTACAACGAGGGAGATTACAGGTGAGTAGTCAGGCACAACCAATTCTGGGCCACCTATCTGTGGGTTTTGATGGGAGGCTTAGGTGTATCCTCAATAGTCTGGGGACCACCTCCTCTTTCGCAGCTATAATATGGTAATTATAATCTTCTGCGATGATCTCCCATTCTTTTAACACAGCCTAACCAGTGCCTAGTCAGCCTCTCGCGAGGTAAGATCAATCTAACGAGGCCTTGTCAGCATCTGACAATACCCTTTTCAGACGCGATCAGTCTAATGGTGTCTTGCCACACCCTCGCGAGCGCTATCTACTCTAATGGTACGTGCTCACATGCTATTCAGGTTGTCTTATTCTTGTATAATATCTACAGACACTGGTGAACATCTACAAGACTCACGCGTGCTTGCCAGTGCCACAAGGCGCTGGTCAGGTCGTCATACTTCCGCTGGTGACTCAGCTATATAATTTGCACGTTCTGCAATACAATTTGTGGGGTGGGCCTATGTATCTCAGCTTGCTCGTCATACACGGACCGCCGACAGGTCTAGGTGGCTCTTGATTTTGTATAGCTGGAGCAAATCTGTAATCTGAGGCTCGCGTGCCCAAAATGTGCTACGAACATGCAAACAGCTGTAAGGCCAAGTCGGACGACCCCCCCTCCCCCCTCCTTCCATATATAGTATGTGCACGTGAAGCACGTGCCGGATAAGTATTACTGTAATTTCACTTTTCCACAAAAACAGCGGTCGTTGGTGTCGGTTTCTGGCTACAACAAACATGAGGTGTGTTGGACCCATCCAACGGGTGTTCAGCACAGCAAAATAATTGCTATGAGACCTCCGAGAAGCCTCAGGGACACCTCGGAACCTGATATTTTGGGTCATTACCGGTAGGGTACAAAAATTTTTTAAGGGCCTTCGGCCCCCTCCCCCCCCCCTACCTCGGACCGAAAATTCCATTCCTGCCACCCCCTTGTCTCCCCGTCCCCCCCGCCCTCCCCGAAGTAGGCTTCGTTAGTCTCCTCGACCATAGCCTCCAACACAATTAAGATCTCTAGCCTAGCTGTATTCGGAAACGACTTCCGAATGGCCTCATCCATGCGGCTCCTCACACTCGGAATCTCCCACCCACTTATAACCACATACTCATTCCCGTCCCCGAGTCCGTAGCCATACGTACTGGCATACGCACCCCCATCTTCCATCGCCGACTTCGCCAAAACATACGAGTCATCTTCGAGCTGGACTCGGTCGACGTGAGAAGGAATCGTAGTTATAGATGTTTGCCTGTACAACCCATCTCGGGCGGTGCTGAGGAGGAGAGAGGTGCTGGGAAGGGTTACGTATGTTTGGGTTATCCCTGGCTCTGCTCGGGTGTGGGGCCCGAGGAAAGGGGTGAGGAAGTCGGTTGGTTGGGTGGTGGTGGTGTTGGGTATAACTGAAAGGTGTAGGTGTCAAAGGGCCCAACACAAAGAGAACACAGGACTTGCAGAACCAATAGATCGCGGAAAGAGAAGGTTCAGCGAGAACTGAGCCGATAAATGCTTGTGATATAGTCGCGTTGTTCGAATTGTAGAGGGCCTTGGTCGTCTAGGTGAGCTTTGCGAGACTATCTTTGAGCTTGAGAGTTTGGATTATAAGCCGTGTTGGACCCTCGTACTCGGTGGCTAGAGCCGTGTGGGCTGCAACAACGAGAGAGGAGATACCGAGGGGTGAGAAGTGCATTGTAGTTTGTTGCGAGACTCTAGACTAGCCCAGGTTCAAACCTCTCCTTCTGTTCACCAGCTTTTATAGCTCAAGACATCGCAAGCACCATACGTTCTGAATTCTCGTGAGGGGATCGACCTTTACGGTTTGTGCGCGTACGTACTGACTCGGACTGGGGACTCAAGTCTCAATATAAATACTGGACAGTGGCATCTGATGCACTAACCTCGAGCGTTATACCGGGGACTATATACTGTGGTTGCTGAACCCCCCGTAGAATCGGTAGATCTTTTGAGTTAGGCGATTGTTAAGGATCATTTTGGCGTTATTTAATATGTGAAGAGCACTGATTTCGAGTCCCAGACTATTTTGAGCCCGGAGCAGCCTGAGCATATGGTATTGTCAAGTATCACCTCCTTGGATGGTTCTCCAGACTGTTTTCCTGTCTAATTATCACTTCGGAGTGACTCAAAGTGAGATACTATCCCCGACCGAACTGATGTAGCGTTGAGCTTACCGCAGTAGACTTCAAATCCTTGGTAGTACATGCACCTGTCACTCCTTATGATTCCGAGAAGTGGTGACGCGCGAAAGCTGGGCCCTCTTGCCATCGAGCTCTTTGATTATGATCCAGCAGCGTACAAATGTTGTGACATAGCTCACAATACTACAAACACTTCCCTGGGAGTGTTTAGTCGAATATTTTCCGAACGCTTGAATGCTTGGCTACTCTATACGCGGCACTAGAGCCCCATAAATACAGATTGGATAATTGGTTCGATGGCGTAGTTGGTTATCGCATCTGTCTAACATAAATAGGCTCAGAGCAAAATGATTACACAGAAGGTCCCCAGTTCGAGCCTGGGTCGAATCATTCCTCGTGATGTAGCTGTTTTTTCCCCTGGATCTGTGTCGATGACTAAACGTAGCGTTGGAATTGATCAACATGACGAGGTTCTTTCAATTTTAGTACTGCTGGGATCTGAACCTTCTCTCTCTCCTGCTTCCGAATACCTTAGCTCAATCCACATACATCCACGAATCCTCTTATCGGGCACGAAGATGTGGTAGGTAAGGCTTGGTTCTCTGTTCTCGTCAAGTACTTATGTAAGTGCATTGTATAATATTGCTGATTTGCCGAGGACCGAATCTTCAGCTTCAAGATTGGAGAGATTTTTTTTGACTCGAGGGATTCATTCACATGCTGACATATGATGGAGGTCAAACTCGTTATAGCTTTGTGCGTCCACCATTTCACAACTCCCTGGTAGTATATCGGTTAGTACACGCGCCTGTCATACTATATCTTCTATGTTTCCCATCGCGCGAAAGCTGGGTTCGACTCCCAGCCAGGGAGAATACTTAGCTACGCGATTCAGTAAATTTTTCTCCTTCCAATATCTGGACGTCCGCGACGCAGTTATCTTTATACTTACCTCTCCAATAAGATTATTCGCGGCAGATGTTTTTCAAGTGCTCGAGGATGCTCGTGGCAACATGGTCCTTCGCCCACATACCTCGTTGGCACGTATTCTCCTTCCAGTGGTAATCGGTTCGATGGCGTAGTTGATTATCGCATCTGTCTAACATGTCAATGGGACTGTGGATGACATAGAAGGTCCCCAGTTCGAGCCTGGGTCGAATCATGTAAGGATTGAGCTCAAGATTTTTTTTGTCGCAATCACCTGCAGCGAAAATCAACTGACCGCGGTAACAAAGTTGATACACTTGCATTGCTAGAATCTAAACAGATCCTCCGTCCTCCTTCCCAGTCTTCTCGATTCTCACTTGCTCCGGCGACTCGCTCTACCCAATATTGAATGCGCCCTGTCAAGGCAGCCCGGACTTTTAGTACAAGCGCTCAGGGTCGCTCAGAAAAGAAGCTTTGTTTTCTCGGCTGACCTACAGCTGACGTCCTCGGAAATGAATTGATGAAGATGCAATAGATTCTAGACTCTATGTATAAGCTTGGCTGTGGCGTGCAGAGCTCGTGTTCGCGTCAATGCGCATGCACATGTACTGTTTTGATTCTTGGGACTGTCGTCGTCTCTCCTTCTCAAATGCTGTGCTGTACGAGGGACGTGGCTACACACAGCCAAGGTGATGCGCACACACGGGACGTAAGAAGTTGGAGAGGGGGGTGGCGGAAAAGGAAAGAAATTTCTCGGCTGTATTCGCGATGATTGACGTCATGGAAACTTCCGTCCTACTTCCATCAATTCACGTGCCCAACCATGATGTGGTCAAAAACTTTGAGCCTTCTGAGGAAGAATTCGCACGGTTGAAGTTTTTTCTTCCTTCCTCCACCTTCCTCTCTCCCTCGCCCTCTCCACCTTCACCTCGACCTCCCTCTCAACCTTTTCCCCTACGCTAACGATCCGCGAAAATGTTCGTCAAACTCAGGTATGGATCTACTCTGTTCACTCGTGGTCATTCATCGGCGCTAACTACTTCTGGTGTTTTGAATTGCAGTCTGCTCTCTGCTCTCGCGACTCTCGCCAGCGCTCTTACCCTCAACGCACCTCAGGACCCCGTGGTCGGTCGCAACGTCACGGTCTCCTGGTCAGACCCTAGCGGCACCCCCGTTTTCCACCTTGAACTGCACCACCCGACGTTCAACAATGACTTTGCTGTCGCGAACAGTGTCGACCCAAACCTCGGCTCGATCACGTTTATCATGCCAGAGGTCCAGGAGCAGAGTGACTATACATTGAGGGCGGTGAACATCAGCGACATCAGCAATGTCTATGCGGAGACTGGAAGTTTCAGGATCGTCAACCAGACTACGGCTAGTTCGACGGAGGCTACTGCGTGAGTTTCTTTTCTTGTCTGCTCTTTCTCTTGTCTCCTTCCGACAGCTGACGCCTTTCGTCTCTCTTCTCTTGTAGATCCGCAACCTCACCCACCGGAAGTGCAAGTCAAACCGGTAGCCAATCTGGCAGCCAATCCGGCACGACCTCTTCCGGATCACCCTCTTCGACGGCTCCTGCAGACGGTCAGAACGGTGGAAACGGTGCTCTCTCCTTGGGCATCAACGGTGGAGCTGCTGCTCTCGTTGCAGGTGTTTTGGGTGTTGCCGCTTTGTTCTAAACCTAACAAAGCTCCAAACCTCATCTCACTTTTACCATGCGGGTACAGTGCGGGTTGCAACGCGGTTAACTGATGATAATAGTGGATCGACGTTTGAACGGGTGCTATAGCTGTTGACAGGTAGCATGATGCAGATGCAGATTCAAGATGGCGGTGGCGTTTACGAGTATCTGCTCTTGGACATTTTTGACGTGGACCCAATATCTATATCTATTGCTCATATTGCGTTCTCCCCTATACCCAGTCCATACCCCACGTTCCCGTTCTTTTTCATTTCTCGTCACCATCGCCGTATACTTGGACGTTTATCGTTTGCTTTGTTCTCTTTCAGGCATATAGTTAACCTCGTGGTTGTTTTTTGCTTTTGCTGTCAGTACGTACGTATTGTTGTTCTTGTAGTCGTAGATACTCTTGGTGTTTTGATGTAACACGCGCCGTTCACGTTCGCATCTTTTCGTTGGAAGCAGTGTTCGCCGCTCGTGTCAAGATAACGATACGACTGCGGCAAGAGTCGTTCTTGGGGAAGTTGCGGCAGCGAGGTCAACGGGAGTGCTGTGGCCATTATTGACGGCATGCAAAAGAAAAATGTAAAAAGGGCAGCAGTTTGATGATTCGACCCAGGCTCGAACTGGGGACCTTCTGTGTAACAGCTACGTCCAGGGCCCTATGTGTTAGACAGATGCGATAACCAACTACGCCATCGAACCATTACCAAGGCATGAAATGAATCATACACCACCACCGGCCCAATACTATGGCTGTGGTCGCCAGTGGCCAGCATAAAAAAACAGTCAGCTAGTGTATTCATGTCCACAATTTCTACTCGTTGTGAGAGCCATTTCGTTAGGAAGGTGTAAGAACGGAGACTAGTCCAAAGGAGTCGGAGCGGGGTATAATTTGGATGGACTACGCCGGCGCGGCTGAAAAACGATCCAAGGCCGCCCTGCCTCCCACTTTCGAGGCTTTGGGACTCGATACTACTTCTAGCTCCTTCCCGGTTTGCTATTATGCACGCGCGGATTAGTACGCCACGCCGAAGGTTTCTTTGATTTCCTCTCCTCTCCGTCGCTCTCAGGCCTCGTCATCACTGCTCTCATCCCCACTTTCCGAGTCCGAATCCGAGCCGCTTCCATCACCGTCACTTTCTGAATCCGAATCACTCTCTGAATCCCCGTCATCTTCCTTTTCTCCACCTTTCCCGGGGCTAGTCCCTTCACCCTCGCCGTTCAAACCCAAAGCGACGATCCCCTTTCCTTCCGAGGCCCCGGCGTCGAGTGAAACCGACACATCGAGCACTCCACCCTCCAAACAGTTATTTGAACTTATGTCGGTGGTCTTGGTGTCGAAATCACACCCAGGTATCGGTTCAGGTGTCGGGGCTCCCAAAGCCGCAAACCTCTTGATTTTGATTGGAATGTTAGTTTGTAGTGTAGTAGAACGGGTAAGCAGGAGCCGACACGTACAGAGACGATACCCAGGAGGAGCAAAAGGGAGAGGAGATTTCGAAAGGACGTGCGGCATATTCTTGTTGGTGGTGACATTGGGGTTGACGCGAGAAAGACAAGCAGTTTTCGAATTCAACGGTCCGTTATATGCCGTTCTCGAGTAGCTTGTAGCTATTCAATTTTCAACGTCATGCCCATCCCCGAAGCGAGCGGAGAAAAAAAAAATTCAAACATTCATGCTTTCAACAGTGTGTACCGTCAACTCCGGGGAAATACAAGCCGAAACCGGGGGGTACGCTGAACTATTGCAGTCGAACGTTGTCGTTCGACTGTTGAAGGAAGTGGCGTGGGAGCTAACGGGCAAAATGGCATTTACCCCCAGGGTTCAAAGTATGGTGTAGAGTACTGATACACTTGCTTAGCCACGTTCTACGCTGATACTGATACTAGTCTTTACCATCATCTCCCCTTTGCTGCCTGCGGTGGCTTATCGATATCATACCACCCCCACATGTTAATCTAACTCGCTCACTCAGCCGTATGTCGAAATTCCCCCATCGCCTGCAGGCTGCATGTGGCTCTCACAACGTTGATAATCATAAAGTTCGCGTCGGGAGCTCTGCGTCGTGACCGCGTGTTTTAGTGTAAAGCGCCAAAAAATACTTGAATGTTCATCCATGCCTTAGAACTCATGCATCATGGTTGGAACACAAAAGAGCCTTGGGATTGGAGACTGGCGAGTACACGGAACAACAAAATGGTACTTGGATGCTACAGAGTATACGGTGTCGTGGACATTAAGAGTATACCTAGTGTATTTCCTGATATAGGATGCCATTAGAGCTGGTCGGCTCGACTTGCGAGTTGAGCTGTCCAATTAAGGAAACAAGTCGAGCTCACCGGGCTCAGCTGGTTCGACTTTCCGCAACTAGGAAAAGCTACCACTCGACATTCTGCGAAGCACGTTTTTGATCTCCGTGAGCTTCAAGTATGGGAATATAGAGTCCTAAGTAAGTATCGTTTTGTCAACCCTGCGGGTCCATGTTCGTTCAAAGACTCACCTCGCCTGTTACCTCCGTGAACGTAAACCCCGATATAAATCTCCGCTCAATCTCCAGTAACAGTTGCCTGATGACCTGAATCTCGGACTTCAACTGGCGGAATTCCCGAGTCAGTAAATTGACGGGATCAATCTGTGCAATGCCTCGAACCTACCTCAATTATCGGTTGCTGAGTCAGATTGGAGACATGCCAGAGCGTCCATAACATCCTTCCCAGTTGTCTTGTTGAGAACACCTCCTCCCTGAGACTCCCAGCTCGCCGCCGCTCCGAAACGTAGATGGTAGCCTTCGGTCTCTCCAACCGACGTATCATATCAAGCACCTTCAAATCCGGCCCTTCAAGTCCGTCCATACACAAGTGTAAATTCACAACCTCCAACTTCGCAGTTTCGCCGCTCCGCGAATCCAAAAACCTCTCAATAGATTCGATACTCTCAACCGGCGCCACACCCTCATCAAACCTCACATCCAACCACTCCAATTCACCCAAAAACCCTCCATCCCTAGCGAGACAATCGAAAACATAACTAAACGGCTGTCCCCACAACTCCAACCTTTTCAAAAATCGAAATTCCCGTCGACAAAGGAACCGTGCGAGTCTCGTATCAGTCACAGCGATACCGTCCAAAGTCAATGATACAATAATGCAGAACGATCTTCTCAGCATGTTTCCGAGACTTGCAAGCCTCGAGTTGG